ACAAAATACTTTTCTGAACAAGAAGTACCGATACTGTTCTTACAGTAAGAACAGTATCGATACCTCATGAACATTACTGATACTGTTCATATTGTATCGGTACCTTAGGTAAGGGAAGTATCGATACTTACTAGGAAGTATCGATACTACCAACATTGTTCAAATTCCAGAATGCAAAATGGTATTGATACCCAAAGGGATACCGATACTACTTCACGTAGTAGTATTGATACCATAATCTTAGTATCGATACCGCCAAACCCAACGGCTAGTTTTATTTACAAATAAAAAAGGTAGTACCGATACTCCCTATAGGAGTACTGATACCCTCTGTACTAGGCAATTTTATTTTCAGAGAAAATCATCCCCAACAGCTTTAAAAGACTCCCAAAGGCTAGAAACAACTACAACTTCATTCTAACATATAAATACAAGTTCAAGAAACTTGAAGAAGAGTTAGAACACCTATCCAAGCAATCAAACACAAGAGAAATTTTTTTCATTCCTATTTTACTTTCTCTTGTAAATATTTGTTCTTGTGAGCTTTAATTTGTAAACACCCTACCTTTGAGAAGTTTTATTTGTTTACTTCTCTTAACCTTTTGTAAAAGGGATTGGTTATAGTTTAGCCAACTGAAAAATTAGGGAGTTTGTAAAGGTTACTCTTGATCCTTGAAAAAGAAAGAACAAATTAGTGGATTTGTTGGAAAATCTTTAGTGAGGAGCTAAGGTAGTGGAGGTAGACTTAGTTGAGAAGTCGAACCACTGTAAATCGATGCGCAAAACTCTCTATATTTTATTTCTCCTTACTCTCTAAACAATTTTTGCCAATTCACCTCTCTTACACATTTTTTGGTTGTTCAATTGAGCCTCTTCGATCCTAATAATTGGTATCAGAGCTTGACTCGTTAGAAGGCTTCACATCCTTGTGACGATCCTCGAAGAAGCTTTACCGATTCACGATACAACCGATAAAGAGATGGCTTCTACCTCCGGTGCTTATTACATGGAAGATTCACAGCCGGTCAACAAGCCACCATACTTCAATGAAGAAAATTATGCCTATTGGAAGAATAGGATGATGCTATTCATTCAAGCAAATGATCTAGGAGCTTGGAACTCAATCATGAAGGGTTATTGCACTCCTCCCGGTGAGATGTATAATTGGAGTGATGGAGAGAATAAGAAGTTCCAACTCAATGCTAAGGCTATGCACATCCTCTTTTGTGCATTAGGCTCAGATGAATATGGAAGAGTCTCCTCTTGTTCCAATGCCAAGGAGATATGAGATAAGCTCCAAGTCACTCATGAAAGAACCGATGAAGTGAGGGAAACTAAGATAAACCTTCTCAACCATAGCTACGAGAATTTCAAGATGAAACCAGATGAAGACATCAAAGCTATGATGGGTAGATTTTTCGTGATTGTCAACGGTCTAAAAGGATTTGGAGAAGTAATCCCTAATGAGAAACTTATGAGGAATATGATATACTCTCTTCCAAAGTATTGGTAATCGAAGAAGACGTCGATCATTGAGGCTAAAAATCTCAAGTCTCTCACTCTCAATGAGCTTATTGGTTCTCTTCTCACTCATGAGTTGCTGGTGAAGGAAGATGAAGAAGATGAAGAGAAGCAAAACTAGAAGAAGAATGAGGTAGGCAATGCCCTCAAATCCACCAGTGAGAGCAATCAAGATTAAAATGAAGAGGTGGATGAAGACGATTATGAAAAAGAAGAGATAACCAAGCTCTTCAAAAGATTCAAGATATTCATGACTTATAAGGAAGTGGAGCATGAATCGAACAAGAAGAAGAGTCCCCCAGTGTGCTTCAATTGTCAAAGAATGGGGCATGTCAAGTATAAATATCATCTCCTAAAGAAGAAGGGATCAAGCAAGAAAAAGGCATTTGAGGCCGCTTGGAGTGATGAAGATGAAGTAGCCAACCTATGCCTCATGGCCATCGGAGAAGATTTAATGGTATCTTCTAACTCAAATTAATTAAATTCACATTCTTTTGATGAGTTGCAAGATGCTTATAATGAGTTGTATTTGGAATTCGAGTCCACGAATTCCAAAAATAAGAAATTATTTTCAAAACTTAAAGTTGAAAATGATTTGGTTTTGAAAGCAAAAGTTGATTTTGAAAATCAAAATGAAAATTTGAAAAACGATTTAGAGCTTTCAAAAGTCAAAATTAATGATTTAGAAAAAGAAAATTTTGATTTGAATGTTAAGCTTGAGACCTTAACAAAAGAAAAAGAAATAATTTCTAAAAACAACTCATTATGTTTAAAAATGACAAAATGCTCACATTGCCATTTTCATGGTCATTTGGAACATACTTGTCCTTTGAAGAAAGAAAAACGTTTTAAAATTAGACAAGTATGGGTTCCCAAGGGAACAAGAGGCATTGAAACTAACGTCCAAGGATCCAAAGCAATTTGGATACCAAAATCCAAATAAATGTCTCATATAGTTGTGTGAGAGCAATGGTGATGAAAATGGCGATACTCAAATCCTCTAGCCACACTTGAAAAGGAATGGTTAACCTCTAAGCTTAATGATTTTGTTTTTGATTATTTGGTTGCTCATCTAGGTTTATGCATGCATGAGTTTTGATTTTAAATGATTTTATATTTTCTATCTCATGTATGTTAAAAGGTGTTATGATGAACATTTTAAAGCTTTTAATGATTTTTCATAATTTTTTAGTTCATCATAATGAATTTTGGTCAAAATTGGGTTTAAATGAAAATGATATCTCTCTAACAATTGATATCAATTTTTCAAATGCTTTGATTTTTAAATTTGTTTTAATTTTTGACCTAAAATTTAAATGTTTATGCATGTGATTTAAAATGTAAATGTTATCTCTCTAACAATTGATATCAAAATTTTCAAACGCATAACATTTTCTAAAAGCTTTATGTACATGCACTTAATTTCAACAATTGGTATTGTATAAAGTATTTTAGACTTGGATATATTGAATTTCATGTGCTACTAACATGTTTGTTATTCTCTGTTGAAATTCAATTTTGTTTAAGTGTCAAGCTTTTAAAGTCAAATTTTTGTTTGGAATGCACCTTTTGAGGGGAACTTTTAATTTTTCAAATGATTTTATGATAAAATTTATCAATTACTCTCCAATGTTATTTTTAGAACTTCAAAGTTGAATTATTTTTGATATAACAAAAAGGGGGAGAAGTATGGTTTGAAAAATTAATTTCTCATTTTCATAATTTTTCCAACAATTGAGATCTTTTTCATTAAATATTTTATTAAGGGGGAGTTTTGCCAAAAACAAATTTTCAAATGTTTTGTTATATAAAAAGGGGAAGATTGTTGAACTATATTTTGATATAACAATTTATGGCAAAATGTTTTTGGACTTGAATTGATTTTATTCAAAGTTTTCAAAAATAATTCAAAGTCCATTTTACTTGGAATTGAGCACAAAATACTTTTCTGAACAAGAAGTACCGATATTATTCTTACAGTATCGATACCTCATGAATAATACCAATATTGTTCATATGATACTGATACCTTAGGTAAGGGAAGTATCGATACTCACTAGGTAGTATCAATACTACCAGCATTGCTCAAATTCCAAAATGCAAAAATGGTATCGATACCCAAAGGGGTACCAATACTACTTCGCGTAGTAGTATCGATACCATAGTCTTAGTAGCGATACCCAAAGGGCCAATGGCTAGTACCGGCTAGTTTTATTTAAAAATAAAAAAGGTAGTACCGATACTCCCTATAGGAGTACCGATACTCCCTATAGGAGTACCGATACCCTCTGTACTAGGCATTTTTATTTTGCATATAAAATCATCCTCAACAGCTCTAAAAGACTCCCAACGGCTAGAAACGACCACAACTTCTTTCCAACATATAAATACAAGTTCAAGACACTTGAAGAAGAGTTAGAAAACCTATCCAAGCAATCAAACACAAAAGAAGAGTTTTTCATTCCTATTTTACTTTCTCTTGTAAATATTTGTTCTGAACTTTAATTTGTAAACACCCTACCTTTGAGAGGTTTTATTTGTTTACTTCTGTAAAGAGGATTGGTTCTAGTTTAGGCAAGTGAAAAACTAGGGAGTTTGTAAATGTTACTCTTGATCCTTGAAAAAGAAAGAACAAATTAGTGGATTTGTTGGAAAATCCTTAGTGAGGAGCTAAAGTAGTGGAGATAGACTTAGTTGAGAAGTCTAACCACTGTAAATTGCTGTGCAAAACTCTCTATATTTTATTTCTCCTTACTCCCTAAACAATTTTTGTCAATTCATCCATTTTGCACACTTTTCGGTTGTTCAATTTGGCCTCTTCGATCCTAACAATAATATTATTTTAATACAAAAAAAAACCCAACCCTAATATCCTTATATAGTATTAGTAAAATTTATTTTTGGTTAAAAAGATAAGGTATTTTTTTAGTGAGCAACGAGTCGAGCAACAAATTTTTTTAACGAGCACGATTCAAGCACAGTTTTAACGAGCTTAACGAGCAACGAGTCGAGCAGCAAAAGTTTTTAACGAGCACGAGTAGAGCGCAACCACCTCACAATCGACTCGCTCAATAAATACCTATAATAGTACGGTTTTATGTTAATGGGTGTAAATATTTAATAAATTATATTGGAAATTAGAGATGTTAAATTAATATCACATAAGGTGTGAAATTATATAAATGTAAAATTCAACAAATACTTTTAATTATATGAGAATTTAAAATTTTTAGGAATATAATTACTGACATTCCCTCAATTTATCTTTGTGCTTAAACATATTTTAATGAGAAAACCTAATCTTCTTGAAACCAAGAATCAATAATATTATTGATCTGAAAAGACTCACTTTACAAGACTACTCAACCACTAATATATATACAACACAATTTAGTAAATTGACACAAAATGACTCAACAATAATCAGTTTTAAAGTCTTAACCGACAAAACTGCTCAACGGCCACGCTGAGTTGGCAAGCTAGCTTTCTTGGCTATATTCAACATGCTCCTCACTTCTTTCACTCTCAACTTCTTCTAAAGAGACCGCCCCCAGTCTTTGTCTGAACATTCGAAAATAGTCTTTGGTCAACCCATCTGCTACCTGATGTGTAGAAGGATCAAAGTTTATTTTCAGCTTCTTTGCAGCCATTTTTTCCCAAACAAAGTGCACATCCTACGTGTTTCAGTTTTTAATGGTACACCGGTTTGTCGCTCCAGATGGCTGATGCTTCTAGAAGCTCAATCCCCATGTCATCTAACAGTGCACTCAACCATGTAACATCAGAGGCTACATCGGCTAAGCATCGATACTCGGCTTCTGTTGTAGACTTCAAGACAATTTTCTTCTTTTTAGAACTCCACATCACTAAGTTGTCACCTAGGTAAACACAGTTACCTGAGATGAATCTCCTGTCATCCATGCTTCCTCCCCAGTCGGCGTCTACAAATGCCACAAGCCGCTGCGAATAAGCTTCTTCTGATATAAACAACCCATAATCTAAAGTCTTATTTAAGTATTGCAGAACCCTCTTCACAGTACCCAAATGTTTCTCACATGGAGCATGCATAAATTGCTCCAGCTTGTTTAACACTATATGCTATGTCGGGACTCGTGTGACATGCATATAAGAGCGACCCAACCAGACTTCGATATTCCTATGGATCGACCATAGCACTGCCAGCTTCTTTGGAGAGTTTGAGAGAAGATATCATTGGTGTAGGTGTAGGAGTTGCACCACGCATATATACTTTGTCTAATAGCTCCAACACATATTTCTTTTGACTAATAAACTTGAAATCTCCTATATTTTTTACTTCAATAACCAAGAAAAAGTTAAGATGTCCCAAGTCCTTCAGTGAGAATTTTTCTCCAAGCAAACTCACTACATCCTCCACTTTGACATTCATACTTCCAGTAACGATTATATCGTCTACATATGCTAGAATATATATGGTACAACATCCTTCTCGCTTAATTAACAACGAACAATCAGCTCGAGAGCTCTCAAACTCAATATTTATAAACAGATGCTCACACAACTTTGCATACCAGTTGCATGGGCTTGTCTCAGGCCATACAATGCCTTATTCAGCTTACAAACTAACGTTGTGCCATCAGGAGCAGTCCTCTCAAAACCTTGTGGTTGTTGCATGTACACGTCTTTGTGCAAGTCACCGTTCAAGAAGGTGTTGTTTACATCCACTTGCCTCAAACACCATTGTTATGGGTTGTAACTGCAAGAATCACGTTGATTGTGGAAGACTTAACTGCAGGGCTAAATGTATCTTGAAAGTGTTACCTAGGAATTTGTGAAAAACCTTTAGCCAGAAACTTGGCTTTGTATATCTACAGAGAGCCATCAGCATTCCTCTTTATCCTAAACAACCACTTACATCCTATTGTAGACCTCCCATCGCAACCGGCTCCTGGGGGAAAGGTCGACAAGTTACAACAACGGGGTTTTTGAAATGATTTTGAAATAGTTTTAGGAAATGTTGGGAGTCACCAAAAATCATTTTAAAGTGCTATTGTAACACCATAAAATCCGAGTAATTTTATTAAATATTTTTTTATTAAAATACCAAGTTTGAGGTATGCAAAAACCAGAAAATAGGTTCGTGAGTCGGTTATGCGTGAGGAAGGGTTTAAACCCCCACAACGCCTAGAAATTAGTACCTAGCTAATTACCTACTTTAAGAAATTTTAAGTTTGAAATTTTATTTAATTTTGAAATCATTATGGATGCAAAATTTGAAAAGGATGTTCGTTTATTAAAATCAATAATTTTCACCCCCTAGCATGAATTGTGGGAGATCAATTATTGTGTCCTATAATCGGACATTACCTTAAAATTTAAAAGATGATGAATTTTTAAAAGGATGTTGACTTATTTCGGGAATCACCAGTTGTAGCCCCCAGAGCATGATAGCGGGGACTATACTATTTGATCCCATAATAAGTGAACATAGCCTTGGTTTTGAAAACAAATGATATCAATCAACTTGTTTAAGAACCTAATTATGCTAGGTGCTTTTATTAAATGATTATACCTAAAAAGTGTCAGATTATGAAATTAAAGAACCTAATGGACTAATGAAGTCTCTAATATTAACCGTATTATTTTTATCAAATTATTGAATCAGATAATCAATTTGAGCAAACGAGCATTTTCAAGTGAAAACCCAAATCGAATCACCCCTAATTAAAGGAATAATATGAAATTAAACTTAATGTCAAGGCTCTAATTGTTTAACTACTTTAATTATATCAATTGGGAAAACTAATTAAAGTTCAGGGGCTAAGATGTGAAAAGTCTAAAGTCAAGGGATTAAACCTAAACTAAGGCTCTAATTAACCCTAAGTATTCAAACTAAAGTAAATCTAACTAAAAAGTCTAAAGCACTAAGCTAAACTAGGGTTTTATAAATTAAGGAGATAAATTAACCAATTATTGATTCGAACAACCAACTTGAGTATTTGTACATGTTTATGCAAAAACTCAAGTCGAATTGTTCCCTAATTACAACTAAGGTGAAAACCTATTATCTAGTTCAAATTATTTAATAGAGAACCTATCTATCCTAGGGATAAATTCTAAAGTCTAATAACAAAAAAAAAAAAAAAAAAAACGGATAGAAACATGCATAAATACATTTTATTAAAACAATCTAAAAAAACTAATCTAATTAAATACCGGGCCATAAAAATAATTAATTCTAATTAATATTCAATCAAATTAAACAATCAAGGGACTAAATTAGGAAACACTAATCCAACCAGGGATTAAATTCAAATTATTCGCAAGCTCAACTAAGGACTAAATTACATAAAGCGAAAATTAAACATGCACATCAATAACTAAGGCAGGGATTAAAATGAAAAAAAGCGTGCTTAAATATGAGGGATTTAAACATAAATAAACCAAAAATTATAACTGAGATACAGAATCAAAAAATAACAATAATGGGACAAATAAAAAACCAAATTAAAAAACGATCCCTACTGGTGACCATTTTGTAAAAACGAGCCAAAAACAGAGCACCGAAATCGAAATAACCCAAATTTCATTACATAAAACCTCCTAATAAAATTTTTAACAAAAAAGGCCGCCCAAACTGAGAGAGTTCTCTCAACTTTCTCAGGCTCTCTTCTTCGTGTCTCTCTTCTCCCTTGCTCCAGCCACCGTACGTGGTGGCCGGTCGGGAAAACCAAACGTTACCCCAAAAACAAACCAATAGACCTAGCCCTCTCAGATTCCTTCCATATCGCTCGAAATCAGACCCAAAAACAACCACAAAATGCTTAAACCCATAAATCTTATCTTCCTTCCTCGAATTTCTCTATTTTTTTAGCCTCCGACGAAAAACCCAAACAACCTTTGAAAACCTTACGCCAAAAAAACCCACCATTAAAAAAAACAAAAACAAACCATTGCCCCTTTTATGCAACTCGTCATTCCTCAGTGATTGTGTATCTCCTGGCGTAAGTAGAAAAGAAAAGAGAAGGTATACCTCTGAAAAACTTGTATTTTCTGTTGCAAAAATTGATCCTTACAAATGATTCATCTCTCTGGTTTTTATAACCACTTGAGAGGAGGATTACAATGGTCTTAGCATCTAAATACAATGGGTATTTTTGTATTTTTGGGATCCTGATTTTTATCTTCATGTGACCTTTGCCATAAACAACCTCCTCGTCCACCTCTACCACTGTTGGGCGTTCGTGCTATCTGGAAAATGACTCCTGATTTTTTGTGTTGATTTGTCTTAGAGCGTAGAAACGTCGCGATCTAGTTTGTATGTTCATCAGATGCGTGTGTGATTCGACCATTTGATTTTCTCTAGCCATGCCAACCATCGGATTGGGTCAGATCCAATGGTTGGGCTTCCATGCATGTTCTATCTTTTGCGTGGATCTGACGGTCGTGATACAAAGATGCTTTCTGATGCCTGGGATCTCTGATTTGTCTTTAATTCAGACTATTGGATTGGATCAGATCCAACGGTCATGACTCGGCTGTACACATTTGCTTCATCTTAGGGCTATAAACCCTAATCTGCTCTTTGATCAGGACCATTAGATTGGGTCAGATCCAATGGTCCCAGATGATGAGGCGCTGGGACTAAGGGTAAAACCCTAGCTGCTTCCTGGACCTCACAGAACTTGCATTCCTTTGGGCTTTGACCTAGACCATTCGCGGGCTTGGTTATTTGACCCTGACTTGGACTCATACTGGACCCTTGTTGGACTTGAACCAAATGACCTGCAAAATTAAAACAAGTAATAAAGATAAAGATAAAAGTAAAATAAGAAATAAAAAGGGAATTAAAAGTAAAAAATAAACTATAAACCGAAATAAATTATACTATTTATCAAAATTATTTCCAAAATTATGTTCTTTTCAAAATGTTTTCAAAACTTATTATATAGTATTTTCAAAATGGTTTTCAAACTATTTACTAAACTATATAATATAATATTTTTCAAAAATGGATTTCAAAACATTTTTCACAAACTATATGATATATATATAATGATTCTATACTATTATTTTACCTTTGAAATATATATATATATACACACGTTAAAAACAATAATATAAGATAAAAATGAAACAAAGTGAAGGCGAAAATGAGTTTCAACACCTCTCTTCAGGCAGCTTAATTAGAGTTCAGGTATTATTTTTTTCCAACACTTCATACTCATCTTGAATTGATGCTATTCATTTGGCAGATTGTAGGGCATTTTGTATTGAGCTAGGTTCTTCTTCTTCTTCAATTTCATGTGTTACAGAGTATATCTTGGGCTTAAACACATCCCTTTTACTTCGAGTAATTATGTGATGCCTTGAAACATTGACAAATGGTATTGCAGTTGACCCAGAAGGTATCTCTGGAACAGTCAACGTTGTTGTGAAATTGTGCTCATCATTCCTGCAATCTTCCATCTCAACAGGTTGTCTATCATGTTTAACATTTTCCTCATCAACATTCATTTGATCAACATTTGAACTCTCCAAACTGAAATCATTACCTTGTATGTGTGCACCAACTTCTTGTTGAAGGCTAGTAGCGCAATCACAGGAACACGATGCCACCGCATCATTATGTCCTCCAGCTTGAACACCTCACGTAGAGTCACGATTCACATACAGTCTTTGAGCCCCACAAATAATTGGTAATTCTGCTAACCACTTGTGTTTAGATTGTCAAGTAGCATGAACCAACCCTTTATATCCTGCAGAAGGAAAACATTGTTCATGAAAATGACCATGTCGAGAGATGTATATTTTACCATCTGGGGCTAGACATTGGTAGCTTTTGTGTTGAACACTGTACCCAAGAAACGTGCACGGTTTTGACCGATAATCCAACTTTTGATGTTGAAAAACCCGAAGCTGTGAAAAACACCTACACCCAAACATACGGGTGAAATTATAGTTTGGGAGCCTGTTGTATAGGGCTTCAAACGGTGATTTCCCTTGCAGAACTTGTGTAGGTAGTCGATTGATAAGAAAAATGGTTGAACACACAACATACAATCAGAAGCGAAACGGAAGAGATGTTT